AGTTGATTGCACAGGCTCTTACGTGTGCTTTGTTGTAAGGAATTGCAGATTGAACGTTTAAAGGCATCTCGAGGAAAGGAAATCCAAGCCTTCAGTACCTGTAGAAATTGGGTGAACTACTCTCTCCTCAAGGTCCCCAAGATACTCTGAGGTTCATACATTTGTCAGGTAGTGACCTTCTTACTCACCCTGTAAGGCAGCTGGGACCCCTGTAAGCAAGGTTGTAGGCAAGTTCTTCTGAGGGGCTTTGTTGGCCCCATAAAGTCAATGTTGGCTCCTTCAAGCTGCCTGGTCATGTCTGAGTATACGTGTGCCTCTCTCAAATATGTCACTTCAGTCACAGCTTTGATAATATAACCAGTGTTTTCAATTGTGTCCTGTCACAAGGAGAGCAAATTCTTATTGAATTTATTTAAATAAGAATATTGCCCTAACATATAAAAATACTCACTGAGAGTTTCTGAATTCTGGAGGGATCAGGTACAGAGAGAAAAATACATGTTTTCAATTTTGTTTATAAAGGTATAATTTCCTAAACTGTTATAAGTCAGCTTAAGAGAAAGGTTTAAAACAGACACTTACTTTAAAAGATCAACAACATATGAAACAAAAATGTCTTAAAAAGTAAAATCGTCCCCCTTAGTTTACTCCATCTTATGTAATTAAATCTTGTTCTGCTTGAATCTAGTTGTTCTCAAATAGTTCTGAAGTGAAACAGTATCTAAACATGACAAAATACTTTAAAATGTAGGTAGTTAAATACCAAATACAGAAAGTTACATAGTTGTTGCAAAACTTAGCTCATAGCTTTTTAATATTATGATTTTGTTTTCTTAAGTACTCAAACACCTTATTTAGACATTAAACATGAGAAATTGATACAATTAGAAAAACTTTTTGCAATATCTTAATATTAAGAATAGAACAATAGTTTGAGAAAACTTTGTCCTTTTAATAGAAAGCAAAATTCTAATCTCATGGTGTACTTTATATTAAGCTTCATTTACTTCAATCTCACATAGCATGACATTAATTTCTTCTTCCACAAAATTTCTACAACTTTATTTTTCCATTCAGAGTTCTCCCTCTTAAAATAACCAGCTGTACTTTAGGATGAAATTACCTTCTTTTCCCTCAATAAAAATGCATTTCCATTCCTCATACCTTCTCTTAACAAAACACATCTTTTCTAGCATGCAGACGTTGCCCTTATTATTTCCAGTAGCCTTAATTAGAAATTAAAACCCTTAGAAACCTTAATTTTCAGTGAAAATAAGAAGCAATTGTGAACTGTTATACTAGCTTTCTTTAGCCCTGTCTTTATGCACAAGGAAAAGAGGTTTTTTTCCCACAGAGCATCTTTGGAACACTTAGGGTCCTGTTAGGGTCTACTGAGGGAACAGCAGTCTCTCTAATGGGAAACAGTATTAGACAAGTGAAGGCTGCTAGAAAACTTACAAGCCTCTTTAATAACTCTCTCTTGCTCACCTAAGGTCGGCTTTAGCTGACACTGGTGCAGAGGTAAAGTAGGAAGAGGAGTGGAGAGAGGGCTGCAGCAAGTTGGCAAGCTTGGCGTGGCCTCTTCAGCTTCTGACATAGAAGCAAGTCTGAACGTAAGGCACTTCTGCCCTTTTGTTTGCCCACTTCCAGAAAAGATTCAATTCAGTAAAAGTGTTAGGATTAAGCCATTGTTCTTGGTCTCCTAGTTGGTGTTGCGGCCAAGATGTGTTGCAGAAGAATATTACCTTTTCCTTTTGAGAGTCTCAGGGTCGAACTGGGTTCATTGGGGAAGAATGCAGCCCAGTGACGTGGCCCACCTAGCAAGAAAGAAATGGGTTAGAAGTTAGTGTCCCAACACCTGAAACACAACTCTTCCCATCCCAGATGTCTCCAAGGGCGGGACAGGAGACGGTAGTCCTGAGGAATGGGCTAGAGAGCCCAGCATCCCACTGGGCAAAAGACCAGAAAGAACATGGGTAGGCGAAGATGTGAAGAAGAGGAAACCCTTTTACACTGTTGGTGGGAATGAAAATTGATGCAGCCACTATGGAAAGAATAATGGAGGTTCCACAAAAATTTAAAAAATATATGCCATAGACCTAGTAACTCCACTTTTAAGAATTTAACCAAAGAAAACAACATCTCTGATTTGTAAATATATACATAGCCCTATGTTTATTGCCACATTATTTATAGTAGCCAAGATATGGAAGCAACCAAAGTCCTTACAGATATGAATAGATAAAAAAGTGCTGGTACATATACACAAAAGAATATTATTCAGCCATAAAAGGCAAAGAAATCCTGCCATTTGTGACAACATGGGTGGACCTAGAGGGTATTATGTTAAGTGAAATAAGCCAGGTGGAGAAACACAAATACCATATGCTTTCACTTATGTGTGGGATTTAAAAACAATACAAAACAAAATGAACAAAACAGCAGTACACCCATTGTCCCTAAGAAGTGACTGGTGGTTACCATGGGGGCGGGGTCCTGATAGGGGGTGGGGTGGGTGAGGGGTATACAGAAGCACAGACTCTCAGTCATAATATAAGTTGGTCATGGGATGGAAGTGAAGCATGGAGAATATAGTCAGTGGTTCTGTAACATTTTCCTATGTTGACAAAGACTAGCGGCACTAGCAGGAGGGAGGATTTAACAATGTGTGTAACTATTGAACCCCTGTGTTGTGTGCTTCAAACCAATATTGTATTTCCACTATATCAATAAAAAAATACACTTAAGAAAAAGAAAGGGCCCAGAAATAAAACGAGAAAGTGCCCCAAATACTGGGTATTTTCTCACTAAAAACCATGGTAGACAAAAGATGGTAGAAAAATAATTTTACAGTACTGAAAGTGATGTGAATGATCAGCCAAATTTCTATGTCTTTCAAAAATATGATTGGAAGTTAAATAAAAGCAAAGATACCATTGTATAAAAGACAAAGAATATGTTTACTGCAAGCTTACTGTAAAAGAAATATGAAATTAAATGCTTCGGACTGGAGGAAATGTTACATGTAGACTTCATCCCTAAGAAATTTGTGAATAGGGTAAAAATGGTGACTTTGTGGATAAATGTAAGTTATTTTTTTTTCCTTTTGGACAGTGACCACTGCATTTCTTCATAAGCTCTATATAACTGTTTAAAAACTAAAATATTAACATCGCCATGTGGAGTTTATAATGCATATGGAAATATATTTGACAACTTAAGTGATTCTATATGATTTCAAAATTTTTATATTTTACAAGAAGGTACAGATTAATAATCATAAAACTTCTATAAATTTAAATAGGTGTGTTGTAATTCCTGGGGCAGACATATGCAACAAAAATAGCTATAAAGCTAACAAAACTAAAAGAGAAATTCTAATAACTATAAAATATCCTAAAAATTTCCTAGTAAAAGAAATGGAAAGGATAAAAGAAAAGCATTGGAAGCAAATGATCAGGCTGATTCCCTGAGGTGGAATATTTTGTAGGCCCGGAGGGTGACATTGAGGGCTGGCGGGTATTCCATACAGTTCTGTGGGTATGTGAAGCAGGAAGTCTCTATGTGGCCAAAATAATCCCTTACCCTTATTTTTTCTATTGGTATATTAAAAAAAATTGAATGTTTAAAACTTGAACTTAGTGCTGGGCTTCGAGTGCAGGCGTAAACTGCTGTGCGAAAGTAAACAACACAGGGTCTAATAAACAGGGACAATCACCGGATAAGATAATACCCTGAAGGTGCACCTCCTGTGTTCAGTAATGCATTTTCCACATGTTTTTTATTAGCAGCATTATGGGCAATTGAAAAATTTGGAAAATACTTCAATGTCAAAACCCAAGATATTAGTAAAACTATGGTATATAATAGTGGGTTATTCTTTGACTATAAAATACAAGGAAGGCAATCTCTAGAGCTGATAAGTAGTGATTCCCACCATGCAATAAGTGAAAAATCTAACACAAGAGAGTTTTCATAGTATGCTGTGCAATAAGTAAACATACATAACTCTTCTTTTTAAAAAACAAACACATTAAAGTTAATCCCTGAAAGGCTGAGAGTGTTTTTCCTCACAAGGTGCTGTGTGATTGGCTGAAACGGATGGGAAAGGAGTGGCATTTCACTGAACATAGATTTTGTTTTTATTGTTGACACTGTTTTTAAACAGTTTTCTTTTCTTGGAGCAGACATACTATTTTTCTAAATATTAAAAAAGTGAAGTGACCAAATGTGAACAAAAATTGAAACTGAATGCAAACTCAATCAAATGAAATAACTGCTGTTCAAATGAAAATAAGCACGTTGGAAAGTACATGTAAAAGACCTCATTCCACAACTTTTAAGCAGTGTACATGCAATATATATACTTAGTTTAGAAGAGAAAAAGAACTACATAAATTCCAAAACTATTTAATGTAGACTGGTCATCAAAGGGTATGATGTGGAAAGCTTGGATTATGTATGCATATTTTAGGATTGTGCACATCAGTGAATAATTTAATATTTTGTGGGATTCAGTGCTTCCAGTATGGAAAAAATGGAAGAAGTGAAGAAAAGGAAAACCCTGGTAGGTCTTTGAAATGAGAAACCACCAGTGAGAGTGTGTGATGTAAGTTCCCCTAGTAACACACAGAATCAATGGGATCCCAGCGGCAGTGACTGACACTGAGGCCCAAGCCTCGGTTTCTAAACCCCAGCATCCTTTCCTTTTCATTCCCTGTTGTTCTCCCAAGGAATGCTGTCAGCCCTCTACATCCAAGCAACTCCTCTCAGACCACAAGTGCCCCACAGATATATACAAACAGTAGTGGCTCAAAACCTACCGACTAAAATAAAGGTAGGTCGATATGGTGTATCTCTGAGTTTGATCCAGAGATAATATTCTGGTAAAAAACGCTAACCTAAATGTAATGAGGAAAAAATAGAATATTGCCCCTCAAAAAGCACATTTCCATTACAAACAATCCTGTTTTTCAAGTGTCAACATCAGGAAAGACAAAGACAGACTGAAGAGCTGTTTCAGGTGATAGATTAAATGATTAAATGAACAATGCAACTATACACAACACATGATACTGAAACTAATTTCAAAATGAACAAGAGTTAAATACAATTATTGTATTTTTCTTTATTTTTTCTGATGACTGAACTTAGGCAAAGTATTGAAACATGGGGAATTGTTGCTAAGTTTACTTAAGAGTTTTCTACAACATCCTTGCACTTTTCTGTAAATTTAAAATTACTTAAAACACAATTAGGGAGTGTCCATGTAAAACAAGATTATAGCAAATAAACTAATGCATATTTTTAATAATTTCCAAATGCATATTTAATGACATATTTAGTAAGAGTTAATAATCTCATGACTTAATAAGATAAGTAGTATTTCAATTTGATGTCTTGACCTATTGATCCTGCATACTAAAATTCTATGTTCTAATACAAAATAAAAACAGACTTTTATTCTGAATATTGGTTTTGTTACAAAAAGAAAATATGGTTAATACTCATTAAAAAAGAAGTCAGTATTTTAATAATGTTAATATATACACTGCTGTGTATTTGATTCTTAAACAATCTCACTTAATTCTCTACTGCATAATTGATATTATTAATTCTCCATGTAAGATTGATCAGCTTTATTGTTTAAAAGATTTTCCTGAAACTATGTAGTAGATGAATGGCATATTGACAACTATGTCTTGAGTAGTCAAAATTATTTTCAAAGAAACAAGCTAAAAGTGTCTAATGTTTTAAGACTTATTAAAAGCCAAAGCAAAAAAAAAAATAAATGCACAAACAAAATCTCCTCATTTCCATATTCTATATCTTTAAAATTTATTCCAGTTCCTTTACTCTACAATGAGGGCCTTAACCAGATGAAGAATAAAATGTGCTTTGTTTTTTATGTTAGGCTGAGGTAGCTGAACAGCATGGGAGAAGCACCATGAATAACTTTTCCTGACTGATGAAAACACCAAGATATAAACAGTATAGAAAGAACAAGAGGGACCCCTTCTTATGGTTAAGATTCCATTTTGAAAACCAGAGAGTTAAGAGGTAAGATTCCTAAGATATTCTTTGGTAATGAGACAGTAACCCACCCGATCTTAAGGCGGTGCATGCAGTGTTAACTGATGTGGTCCCAGTGCTTGAGGGAAGCCACTCCCTTGGAGGGGAACCAGATCAGTAAACACCCTGGGTTCAGTTTATCTTACAGAATTACCTAGAGAACTGACTGTGCGTGAGGACGCAGTGTCCCTCACTGGGGACGGACATCATCAGACTGCAGGTCAGGCCTAGGTCCCACAGCGCCCCTCCACCCTTTGCCCCATTCTTGAAAGCCTTGAAAGCCAGAATCCCCAGCCCTTTAGCACACCTGCTCTCTGAGGTGGCCTGCACCCCTTTCTAAGTGCATGCTCTTAAACAAACCTTCTCACTGCCCAGCTTGTTGTGTCTTGTCTCTGCCCTCTTCCAGTGGCAATTGTCTTTGTTGGCTCTGCTATTTCATTTTATTTCCCAGTCTTTATTCTGTCTCCACTGTATGCCTGACATGCAGGGTGGGGCTCCTGAGAGCTCTGATTTGGGCCTGCAAGTTCCCATCGCCGGAGTGACCCAGGCAGAACTGCAGCTGTGCATCGGCTTTTAGCAGCCTGCCTGAAAATCTCCTTTCTTTTGAAAGTTCTCAGAACATAATCTCCCTCCATCCTGTGCTTTGTGGCTCCCCCAAATCCTGGGGTGGTAGTGGCTAGTCCCCATGACATTCAGATCCAAGTGGAAATGGGCCACCCGGGGGCCCTGGCTTCAGGAGCTGGCAAGGGAATCTACCCGTGGCCAAGCAGGAGGGCAACAAGCTGTCCTTCCTCCCCTCTGCTCCCTCTGCTCCTCCTTGCTCTCTCCTACCTGCAGGGCAGCTGCCATTCGCTGCTGCTCTTGCCTTAATGAATCCCTTCCTTAACTGCTGCCTCTGAGCTGCTTGAGAATTCCTGCTCCATCAGAGTCACCAGCAGTCCCACCTCCAGGCTGAGATCCCACCGAGTGCCCAGGGGGAGACTTCCCTAGATGCGGCTGCCTGGCAACGAGATGACTCAGTCTGCAGAAAGGATTTGCAAAGCATAATATCCATCTGCTTTGACAATTTGACTGACTAAATTATTTTCTCCAACTTCACCGTGACCCACTCAGTCAGTAATTAGCAATGTTTGACAGGAATCTTCGCATTTACCAAAGTGCCCAGTGATTATTGACAATTATGAAGTGGTAACCACTAGCATATAGCCTATGAATGAGCAGAATTAAGGGATATATTCAAGCACTCTATTATTATTATTCTCAAAGTCTGGATAATATCCTTCACAGTGTATTTCAGAAAGTTTTCTGGGGTGTGAACAGTCTGCCTCCAGAAAATACCAACAATTACAATTGTACGGCCATAAGAGACAATTACATAATAAGGCTGCTCAGAGGACTCCTAAGACATTCTTCTTTGGGGAATTCTAAGCATCAGTCACATACTTTAAAAATAATTTGTTGTAGACACTTTGACTAAAGAATGTTTCAAATGATGTCAAGTTTAAAATAAAAGAGGCAAATGAATTTCTTGGTTGCTTAAATATTAATCTTTCTCTCTGAAGAAACTATCACATCTTAGTAGACATCTTTTAGCCCTTCCACAGAAGAACAGAAATACAACTATATCCTATAATGATAGAGAGATTCCAAAAGAAGATATAGGTCTGTTTTAATTTCAGGTGATTAATTTTAGATATTCTTTGGTATATTCTTTGGTATATATTTCTTTTTTCAGAATTTCCACTTTTCATTTACATGTTAGAATCATCTATAAAGTAATCCTTTGTCCAGTGGTTGAAGCATTGGTATTATTTTAAGGTATGAATTTCAATGTTTTATTGTTGAAATGTTAAAATACTCTTACAAAATAATAATATCTAAATCTTGTGGAAATTTATGAAATGCACCAAAAGCAGTGAAACGCAGTAGCCGATTTCTCTACTCTTCTTTCTCTTTTGACCCCTCTCTGGGTATTTCTGGAGAAAATTAGAATAGGGTGATAAATGTTCTTCAAAGTTATTTTATTTCTGCATCATGCATTCTTCCCGTTCACCACACAGGGATTCTCCATATGTAATTCAGATGCCCGCTGCGTTTTCTCTTTTGTTTCAGCTGTGCTTCCCAGAGTGTCTCCTTCAATGGCCTTTGTCCTGCATTCTTCTCTTCACTTGGGTTTCAGATTCTTGGTCCCCCAGCAGGGAGCCACTGCCCACCTCCAGTCTCCACTATGACCCAGGTAATCTGTCAGATAATGCATTTGTGTTATTTTAATGACACAAAAACTATTTGCAATGTGTCTTTATAGGTATGTTTATTAATTTTCTCCTCCCATTCACAGCAAGCTCCCC